TCAAAAGCCTTCGCAGCTCTTACGGCGCATGAAAGATCTAGCCCGTGGGAAAATACCAGACGCGACATTACAAATCATGTGGAATAGCCACTTGCCACCACCAGTGCAAGCTGTGTTAGCCGTTACACAGGAGACAGATATAACAAATCTGGCTGTAGTGGCTGATAAGGTCATGGAGGCCACTGGGCATTCCAATATAGCTGAAGTATCAACCAACAGCAACTCCTCAGAGCGGGAGTCAAAAATTACATGTTCGGAGCAATCCGACCTGGCGACGTTGGTAGCACGTCTCAGCATAGAAGTGGCGGAGTTAAGGCGCTCTCGGCAAGCGGATCGTGGTAGACCGTTCAGGGGTAGGAACTACAGTGCTGGAAACAGATTCAGTCGGGCACCGTCACAAGGTCGAGAGAGAGAGAATTCCAGTAACCGACGAAATCCTAATTGGCTTTGTTTCTACCATTATCGGTACGGAGATAAGGCCGTAAAGTGCATTGAGCCCTGTAATTGGCGGAAGCCCAAGCCACAAGAGCCAGCGGAAAACTAAGTGCGATACGGCCGGAGGCGGAGGTTGGTATCGGGTTATCGAATAACCGCCTATGTGTTAAAGACAAAAAAAGTGGACTGAAATTCTTAATTGACACAGGTGCGAACGTTTCGGTTATTCCGGCATCGAAAAAGTGCGTTTCCGATTACAGTGCGAGTGATAAATACAAACTATATGCAGCTAACGGAACCGCGATAAAAACTTATGGTATGCGTACTTTAATTTTAGATTTTAATTTAAGGAGAGCGTTTAAATGGAATTTTATCGTAGCGAATGTTAAACAGCCGATAATAGGAGCGGATTTCTTAAGCCATTATCAGCTGTTAGTCGACATGAGCGCGCGCAAGTTAGTAGATCAAATTACACATTTAAATGTTCTCGCCTCTGTTGTAAGTCATAACGAATGTGAATTATCTATTAAAACTGTTTTAGGTAATAGTGATTGGCACGATTTATTGCTTTGTTACCCGGACATAACGAAATTAGTATCTTACAAAGAGACACCTAAACACTCTGTGTGTCATTATATAGAAACTACGGGCCCACCGGTATACGCTAAAGCCAGACCTCTTCCGCCTGACCGTTATAGGAAAGTTAAGGAAGAGTTTAGCCACATGTTGGAATTAGGCATTTGTAGGCCATCTAAAAGCGAATGGGCCAGTCCATTACATGTGGTACCAAAGAAGAATGGTGATATTCGACCTTGCGGTGATTACAGAAAATTAAATGCCATAACAAAACCGGATCGCTATCCGATTCCGAGACTGCATGATTTTAAATATTTATTAGCGGGAAATAAAACTATTTTTACGCGGTTAGATTTAATTCGTTCTTATCATTTCGTACCGGTTGCCCCGGAGGATATTGAAAAAACTGCCATTATAACGCCCTTTGGACTGTTTGAATTTCCGCGCATGATCTTCGGATTACGTAACGCAGCTCAAACATTCCAGCGTTTCATGGATACCGTAGTACTACAAGGGTTAGACTTTTTATTCAGTTATATCGATGATCTTATTATCGCGAGCGAAAATGAAAGTCAACACAAAGAGCATTTAAAGGCAGTTTTCGAAAGATTTGATAAATATGGAATAACTATTAATCTATCTAAATGTGTTTTTGGTCAGTCAACACTTGAGTTTTTAGGATTTGAAGTGTCTACGGAGGGTGCGCGACCACTTCAAGATAAAGTACAGGCTATTGTAAAGTTCCCGAAACCCGAGACAGTCGATCAACTACGCCGTTTTCTCGGTATGTTAAATTTTTATCGTGCACACATTCCAAACGCTGTTCAATATCAATTCGAATTGAATAAATATTTGCACAATACAAAAAAACGCGATAAAACTTTAATTGTGTGGACTGATAAGGCTGTCGAAGCATTCAAGAAGTGTAAGGAAAGCTTGCAAAGCGCCGCTACACTGTCTTATCCTTTACCAGATGCTAATTTAGCGCTGATGACCGATGCCTCGGATACTAGTGTAGGTGCTGTATTACAACAGAAAAATAACAACAATTGGCAACCATTAGGGTATTTTTCAAAAAAACTTTCACAAGCTGAAACGAAATATTCTACTTATGATAGGGAATTGTTAGCAGTATTTATGGCTATCAAATATTTTAAAAATTTAGTGGAAGGCCGTGTACTGACTATTTATACTGACCATAAGCCTCTCGTTTTTGCATTTTCAAAATTAAATAACGACAAAGAAAGCCCTAGAAGAATTCATCAATTATCTTACATTAGCGAGTTTACCACCGATATTCGTCATATCAGCGGTGAGCAAAATGTAGTCGCAGATACACTTTCGCGGATAGAAACGATCAGTTGTCCTACATTACTCGATTTTAGAGAAATAGCTGAGCAACAACTTAGTGACGAATACCTACAGCAAGCGTTGCAAGCAATAGATAGTAAATTACAATTTAAACAAATATTATTGCCAGACTGCGAAAAATATATTTATTGCGAAATTTCATCTAACAGAATTAGACCATATTTACCAGATAAATTCAGGAAAATTGCTTTTCATTCAGTTCACGATTTAAGTCACCCCGGTGTTAAGACTACCAGAACTTTAATTAAACAACGTTTCTTTTGGCCTAATATGCTAAAGGATATAGCGAGTTGGACTAGAACCTGTTTTAGTTGCCAGAGATCAAAAATTAATAGGCATACGATAGCAGGATTAGGAGAGTTTGAGCGTGCAGACCGTTTCCAACATGTTCATATAGATATTGTAGGCCCGTTGCCTACATCGGCAGATGGACATAGATACTGCGTAACAATGATAGATCGTTGTACCGGATGGCCGGAAGCTTTTCCAGTTCACAATATTACAGCTGAAACAGTAGCCAAGGTAGTATTTGAAGGCTGGATATCTCGATTTGGAAGCCCTTCGAAGCTTACCAGCGACCAGGGTAGACAATTTGAGAGTGATCTTTTCAGTCAGCTAATGAAGTACCTAGGTATTTTTAAAATGCGAACAACACCTTATCATCCGCAGAGTAACGGCACGGTTGAGCGATGGCATCGAGCACTAAAAGTGTCACTTACGGCACGTTTAAACTGCAATAGTAACTGGGTGACCGAGCTTCCAGTCGTGTTGTTAGGCTTACGAGCCGCAACCCGCAGTGACAGTGGCGTTAGTGCAGCAGAGTTAACTTATGGTAAAACAATTCGTTTGCCAGGTGATTTTTATGAAGATTCCAAATTAAATTGCTCGGATTCGGAATATTTACAAAATCTTCGCGATTCCATTAAAAGTTTGAGACCTAAACCGTCAAGTCATGGTAATTCACGTTCGTTATTTCTGCCTAGCGAATTAAATAGTTGTAAGAGTGTATTCATAAGAAATGACGTATTTCGTAAATCTTTGCAACCTCCTTATGATGGCCCTTACGACGTTGTAAGTCGGAAAGGCAAAACTTTCGATATTAAAACAGGAGATAAGACGAAAACTATTTCAATAGAAAGATTAAAACCAGCATTTTTTATAAATAATGATAAAGATTTTAGTTATAGTTCGAATTTTAATAAGAGTAACGATCCTAGTTTAGATAACGAGGTCACTTCCAGTAAAGCTCTACAGCCGAGAACTACGCGTAGTGGCCGCGTTATCAATACACCCGTACGTTTTACAGCATGACGTAATACATACGTACCTATAGCGTAGCTAGTCGAACGGACGAAACATAGAGAACAGTATACGAAATACGAAGCAAGCGGAAGTCTTTGTAAATTAAATAATAGGCAGTTCTGTTCTCAAGATTTCAATTTCATCGATATAGCTCTAGAAATAATAACAGTGGGTACTGATTTAAACAAAGAACTTTTGTCAACCAATTTTTGTACTCAGCTTACAAGATCGCCGCGTTCCCACAATTTGTTAATGTAAATATTACTCATTTGTTAATGTAAACAAATCGATACGATACGTGAATAGTAGTGAATAAGTAGCATAGTGAATATTAGGTTTAGTGGTTGTGGAAATTATAGGTTCAATTCCATATTTAACATGTATTTGTAGAGTATAATAAATATAATTTTAGATTGGTTAGGATTTAGATACTATTAAACAGTAATTTTGTTTAGTAATAAGCTTTTGATAGGAAACATGTAATTTAATTTGTTTACTAATAAGTAAGAATTTGTATTCGATAAAAATTAAATGTTTTATATGACATATTATTTTATATTTACTTTAATTACTTGTCATTTATTTAAAAATTGTTTATATTATTTTTATTGTTCTTTATTGTACTGTTCTTTTACATTTCTTACAATATGTGATGTGTACTTTTATTTTTTATTGTAAGAGGGGGAGTACTGTAGGGACACATATGCCTACATGTACATGTACAGTTTAGTTTGTAAGATGTTTATAAACAATTTGTTAGCGTCTGTAGAACAAAGACTTTTTAACTAGTCGCTAATATACGGAGTTACAGAGTGAACGTGTTTTCTTATTTAACCTTCTGATAACATAAATAGGGTCCGACACTTAATACCCTAAAGGATTTTTCTTATAAATAAATAATATCAATAGTGCGTGTATCAATAGTCTTTTGATTGTACATTTTCTACAAAACTGAATAGCCCCTACTCCTCAACTTTAATGCGTATTATCTAACCCAGATCTTGTTTAAATTAAAGCAAAAAAAAATGAAAATATGTTACTATTATTTGACTGACTAGAATAGAATTTCTTTCTTTGCTAGTTGTAATCCCTATTGATAGCAAAGTCTATTATAGGTAATTAATTAACAAATCATATAAACAACACTTATTTAGCTGTTTTAATATGAAATTAGTATGTAATGATATTAGCATACTTTTATAAATTTATTATATAAACTATGTAGAAATTGAAAACATTGGTAAATTAATAGCAAAAAAAAAATCACATACTTGTTTAGGTTGAAATATAACTGTTTGCTTTTATTATTATTTTAGTTACTTGATGTTATGGAGGGCATGATGGCAAAGGGTGGTAACATTGTGGACTATCATGGCTGTGAGTTCTTCCCAGAGAGGTGGTTCGATGGTGTTTTTGTAATCAGAACAAATAATACTGTTCTTTATGACAGATTAACAGCCAGGTAAATAAAAACATATTTTTTTTAAATAAATAGTAGATTTCGCATTTTTTACCTTTATCTGAAAAAAAAAATAATATTAATTATTGTTGTGTTCGATATTACAATATTTTATTATACAATAGGTGTTTCACTTAAAATCCTGGAAGTTTATAGTAATAATAACATAATATTTTCAGAGGATATACTGGAAAAAAATTACAAGATAACATACAGTGTGAAATATTTGAGACTCTGTTGGAGGAGGCACAGTCATCCTATAAACCTGAAATAGTACAAGAACTCCAGAATGACACAGAGGAGCAATTACAAAAAAATATAGATACTATTATAGAATGGATTGAGAGGTGGAAGGAAAATAATTTATAATAAAACATTTGCCTAAGTCCTGTTTAATATGTTTTTTGCGAGCTATGCAAGAGGTTTATTGTTCAACTGCTTATACCTGAAATTTCATCTATATGGATTTTGAAATAGTTTTATTTCGATGCTAGAAAGCAAACACATACTAACTCGAAAAACCAAACTTGTGCTTTAGAGCAGAAACTTTTTTGAAAATAAATCTTACTTCAGTATATCTCTACTTGGTTATCATTTTAGGAACCTTATGGTTGTACGTGTGGTTCTTACTGTGGTGATCGAGACAACTGGCCAGGGAGACTAAAGGATAATTGTCTCCCTCTGAGCTAGGTGTTGTTAGCCCGGGGACCGCGGTCCAACCGATCTAGGTTGGACGTTCTTCTATTTATGCCAATTGGTAATGAAACTTATTCTGTGCGACGTAGGTTTCTTTGTTCTAAATGTCTTCTAGTTATTAATTTATGCTGTTTGTGTTGGTACAGCGCCATCTCGTTCCTTGCTGTTGAAACTTATTGCAGTTCGTCTTGCTATCGATGGCTGTGACGATGCTAGTCTTCTCGCTATCGATTGTTGTGACGATGTTAGTGCGATGCGTTAGATGTCGCTATGTATCAGTCGCCACATAATTTTTGTTACTTTGGTCAGTTGAGACTTTTTTGAATATTTTTTTTTGTTTAAGGAACAATTTTGGCTTTATGAGTCAGTTATTCTTGTTGTAAACCTTATAAGGGAAAAATAATCCATTATATTTGATCAATGTTGTATTCACAATGCTATACTGAAAAAATTTTCTTTCAAAATTCCACCAGCCCCAGGTGCTTTGAGATGGGACTCGAACCCACGACCTTTCGCGATCCAGGGGACTGCACCTTAAAATTAATTTAAAAAAGTGGGTGGCGCTGACTGTCTGACGTAGTTTATTTCACTTCATGGTACCCTAGACTGGGAATACTCGCAGGATGCCAAAAGTACTAATGTTTTATGAACTCACGCTAAAATAACCAGTCATTTTAAAAGTAATATAGTTAAAAAGATATTTACAGCGTGGCGCTCACAGAACACAATTACTGGGGAGGTGGCGCTGCCAGCCTGACACACTTAAATTGACTATTAACAGGTTCTTATTTATCACCTATGTAAAAACAATGCTAGAAATATTTATAATATCCACGCTTTTCACGCGATCTCTTAACACAATTACTTTAGCTATCATTACCCAGGTTTAGTTCGTTTATCTCACACTAACTGTTTTCCCGCGACTTCGCAAGCGTAAATTATAGCCTATGTCAACTCCGTATGACGTAGGTACACGTAGGTGAAAGAATTTTTAAAATCGTTTCAGCAGTTTCATACCCTATTCGAAACAAATAAACAAATTATGCCTCATTATAATATTAGTATAGACCTATGGAGTTTGTGGTATAAACTAACGATAAAATGACAGACTAGATAGTGTTTTGTTTCCTCAATTTTTCAATGAGGAAGTATTTAAAAAAAAAAAAAAAACGAAGGCACTAAAAAAGCACCTCTACCAGATGGCGTCTCTAGCAAAAGTTGAGTTTTGAAAACTAATTTACTTTTAAACATGAAAGAAAACCGGAAGGGTTGTCATGGAGAAATCAAGAACGTACCATTGCGACATCTAGTTTGATTTCGGGAACTATTTTTTTTAATACTTCCTGATTAGGTAACACAAATAATACACAATGTTATAAATACAACCTAATTTATTCATTAGCCCACCGACAATATATAAGAAATGCATTCAAAATTACTGTATTTAGATAACACTATACTAAGTAAAACTGAACTGGAAACTGGGTAACTGTAAACGTGCCGCGGGGACAGTTATGGCAGGTAACCGAGTTTACAAATCAGCATACGTTGATCGGGCACGCACTCGCACACAGTACATTCACAGATCTCTCTTAAAAAGTTTCATCACAACTTAAATCTACAACTCTGTCTTCTTCGCATTGCCCTTGCGGTCCCAGCCGCTGAGCTCGCTTGACGCGTGCTCTGATACGTATTTGAGGAAATCTTCTAAAGCACGTCCGCCCTGGTAAAACAAAAAAAAAAAACAGACATTATACTTTAAAAAATTTAAACGGTTTGAATAGATTGTTTTATTTTTCTCTAAGCAAACAAAAAACGATTACCACCAAGTGTCACTGTTATCTATTTTGTCTGATCATCATCGGCTTACTAATGTCACTTATTCAATGCAATTAAATAGGAAGAACGAGCTATAACCAGCTACGTGGACCCAGATTAATGGATGTTGACGATTGCAAATGCAGCCAGGTCCAACGGCCTTCCGAAGTAAGGAGCTCGCGCCAGTATATTTTTGGTCACCCATCCTATGACCATCCTTAGCGGAGATTGCTTATATTGCAGACTTGCTAACTACTGTGCCATCAAGTTTATTTAATCAATTTTATTGTATTTATTTACTCACGTTATATCTGACGGGCTTCTTAGCCGAGTCCTTTGGCTTCCAGTATATAGTAGGGAAACCAGAAACTTCGAACTGCGACTTGGGCCAGTCGTTGGCCGTCGCGTCGATCTTCACGATGTCTACCTCCTCGTTCTTAAGCTGTAAATAAATTTAAGTTTTATTTTATATGTTGATGCGATTAGATCATATGCAAAACCATTCAATTTGTGAATTAAAACTATCTTAAGATTATTAAATTAACCCTATTTATAAAGGAGTTTCACCAAAAATTTATAAGGAACTAGCAAAGCGGTAGCAGCTCGAAAATTTTCGCCTAGACTTCATAGTTGCAAAGAATTTGAATGTTGTTTTGTCCACAGAGATGAGTTTGATACGTAGATACATAGCTACCGTAAGGGGGCCGCACGAGATTAGTTTGAGTTGTAAATTAGTATATTGTAGTGTGTCGACTTTTACATAAAAAAGTGTGTCGACTTTTTTATAGAAGATGAAGCCTTAATTCCCAAAGTCGGATTTGCAGCTACGACCGCCTTAGGCCTTTGTGTTGCAGGTGCCCCTTTTTAGGGTTCTGTGCCCAAAGGGTAAAACGGGACTCTATCACTAAGCCTCCGCTGTTCATCCGCCTGTCCGTCACCCAGCCGCATCTCATGAACAATGAGTTACAGTTGAAATCTTTTTACAGTTTCTTAGCTCTTAAAAATACCGCTAATATACTAGTATATGAAATAACAGCTGTTTTATTCATATTTTTATTTCAGCTCATTTTGTATTTTTGGATAAATAAGTGAAGATATACCATACTCGGTATTTCATTACTCTGCTTTTTATGTTTTATGCTATTATGGCGTGCCCTAGGCCCTACTGTGGTCATAGGGTAAATCCGTCACTATTGTTCCTCTCGACTGCCTTACTTACTGGACATATTATAGTTACCTTATCTCCCAACTCTTCCCAGACAGGCGCAAGTTTCTGGCAATGTCCGCACCAGGGTGCGTAGAATTCGATCAGAGCGTCGCGGCCGCTATCAGACACTAGTTCCTTGAAGTTCTTCCCGACGGCCACCTTCACAGGTCCATCGTTATTCTCCGGAACTGGTTCAGATTTGATGAAAGGTTCCAATTTGCCATCGACCAAGTCCTTTGTGAACGCCAGTAAGTTGTCGATGCTGAAAATTATATTTAACATTCAAATTTTGAAAAACAACATTTATCCTGAAAAGCAGAATAATAGATTATTCTGTAGGTGTTTATCAAAATTTCATGTACTGACATTAAATTTTACGAAAAAGTTGTTACAGGAATATTTTGAAGATAAACGTATCTTAAAAACGTATATTACTTCAGTCCTAAAGTCTGTAAAAAAACACTAGTAGCTATAATGTTTTGCACTGTACAAATCACTGCTTAATAAAAATCAACTTTAATAAGATTTACTAAAGACTCAATTCTTGACAAACATATTATATTACAAGCTTTCCGCCAGCGGTTTCGCCCTCGTTGTCTTATACTTATTATACATAAAAACTTTCCTCTTGAATCACCCTATTTATTAAAAAAAAAAAAAAAAAAGAATCAAAATCCGATGCATATTTTTATAATAACTAAGAGACAGACGACAGAAAGCGACTTTGATTTATAGTATGTATTGATACGACCGGTGGCGTAGTATGCGGAAGAAATTAGAAACAAGTATAACACTGCGATGAGTTTATATCTCAGCATCTCTGCATTCAAATAAAGCGGATAATTTTCGAGTTCTACTTTTAATTTGAAATTTAAATCAGAATATAAATAACTACTATAAAACGTTCGATAATAACATACGAGGGTCAAACTGAAAGTTCTTAGAACTGGCCACTTATAAACAATATAATAAAAAAATAATTCTAAAATTTGAAAATATAACTCTTTGCCAATATTACTGAGTATATATTTCATTCATTTGTCATTTGTTTTACGATTTGGCGGCAAATTGAAAATTGTCTGTGTCACGTCATCATGAATTTAACACGAGAAAATTTTCGTGCAATGATTTTTTATGACTTTCGATGTCATTTAAGTCAACAAGAAAGTTATGATAGACTACGATTGGCCTTTCACGATGAAGCCCCATCTCGTGCGACTGTTTACAACTGGTTTAATGAGTTTAAACGTGGTCGCACTAATCTCACTGATGATTAACGTGAGGGACGGCCTTCTACGGCGACGACTGAAGATAACATCTGTGTTGTGCGGCGTATGATAAAGACTGACAAAAGAGTGACCTATCAACAGATTCGGACAAGCTTAGGCATCGGTATGAGTCAAGTGCACAAAATCCTCCACGAACATTTAGCGGTCAGGAAGCTTTGCGCCCGGTGGATACCTCATAATTTGACTGAGGCTCAAAAACTCCATCGTGTGGATTGGTGTCGTAAAATGATTGAAAGATTTAACGGAGGTGACTCAAATGCTGTGTTCGACATACTAACAGGTGACGAAAGCTGGATTTACTGTTATGATCCTAAAACCAAAAGACAATCTGCTCAGTGGGTGTTTCCTTTCGAGGAGTTGCCAACTAAAGTGAAGAGAGATCGAAGTGCGGGAAAAAAAATGGTGGCCTCGTTCTTTGGAAGGATAGGTCATTTTGCAACAATTGTGTTAGAGGATCAAAAAACAGTTTTTGCAGAATGGTACACTACCAATTGTTTGCCACTTGTCTTGGAAAAAGTTCGAGAGAAACGACCTCGCAGTAGGATCCTCCTTCACCACGACAACGCCTCGTCGCACACCGCCAAGCGAACGATCGACTATTTGGCGACATCAAACGTTGAATTACTGGGTCACCCGCCGTATAGCCCCGACCTCGCGCCTTGTGATTTTTATTTATTTCCAAAAATTAAAGAAAAACTTAAAGGAAAGCGGTTTATGAATGCTGAAGAAGCGGTGGCTGCGTATCGCGATGCCATTGAAGAGACCCCTAAGGACAAGTGGGCAAAGTGCTTTTCCCAGTGGTTCCATCGCATGCAGCGGTGTATTGACGTGAATGGACAATATTTTGAAAAGATATAATAAAACTAATAACTGGCTAATGTAATCAGTTTTTGATTTTCTAAGAACTTTCAGTTTGACCCTCGTATCTTTTAAGACATAGCACTTTGGCATGATTCCGACTCTTGAGCATGTGGAAGATATAAGTCAAATGGAGCTCATGACGCATTTAAGTCAGGGTTTGGAATGATAACAATCATACCTTGATAATTATCTTACTAATTAAAAAACACGAGGTACAAAAACCCTGTGTACTTAAGGTTTTTTTATTAAATGGCAATCATCTTTACATAACTACCAAATGTGAAAGAGAAAATTATCTAGTAAGGGACCTACAAAAATAAAAGTTTTAAAGCCAGCTTATGTTTAAAAAAATATTTAAATATCATTTTTAATTCTAAAAAATTGTTGCAAGCAGATAATTATCCAAAAAAAATGTTTGGGCGTTTTTATTGAGTTTTAAAACAAAATAAATGTATTAATTTGAATTCACAAATTCCTTATCACAAAAGATTAACCTTTCGTTAACCTGAAAATAGCATAACAAGGTTTTATTATTCATAGTCGCGCTTATCATGGTAGCGAAATGCGATAAGTCGATCGAGTCTATGGGGAAAACAATTGGCGTGTTAAATCAAAAAGCATATCGATTATATACACTCGCATTATAATCGTTTGCTCTACAAGTTTTCGTTAAGGTAATTTAAGTCATGTACCGCACGGTATTTTTGTTGATAACAGCTGTTTCCCAGCGACTTCACCTGTGTAAATTAAACTCTTAGGTAATCAAATTTAAAAAACTAGTCCGGTAGTTTCGGAGCCTTCAAAACAAACAAACAAACAAATCAGAACTTTCCTCTTTATAATATTAGTATAAATTATATTTAAACTGCTATAAGTCGAATTTCTATATAATGTAAATGTATATGTTCGCGGAGTGCTTAGCAGAATTACAACTCATGGTAACATTATTCACATTAATATTTATGCCTATTTATATAGAAGCCCACACTAAAAAAATTCAGACTCGTACTCTTTTCGACTAGAGAACATAGAGGTTAGTTAGGAAACCAGAAAAGGTTAAAAAACGCTGAAGTAAAGAAAAAGCAAATATAAGACAACTCAAAGCCCTATCTCGTATAATGGAGTATCTGAGTCAATGATGGTACCACAACACCCAGACCCGAGACAATATAGAAAAATTCATTTTGTCCATTGACCCAACCTGGAATAGAACTTGGAATCTCGGAGATGGTGATCCTTGAAACCGAGACGCGAACCACGCGGCTTTTTTATTTTTTTTTATTGTTGCACGACAAAGTGACTGTAATATACCTGGTGGGAAGTGATATTACAGTCTAATGATAATAAGAAACTTGCTTATCTTGCCGGCCTATTAAAGAGCCCTTTCACACCTCTTTTGAAGCACCCAAGGTTATATTTAATTGGAAATATGTGGGATGGGACACTGTTCCACATTTTAATGGTACGGCAAATATATGATTTGCCGATTTTTTTTTGTACGAGATGGTATAGTACATACAGTCTGGGAATGGCAGCGAACACCGGCACGTGTCAACTTGTTACGGAAGGAGGAGGGGGGAATGATGTTGAATAATTCCTCAGAGCATTCTCCATGATAGAACCGATAGAACACACCGAGTGAGGTAATATCATGCCTCATTTGCAGTGGCTCAAGATTGTTGGTTAGCACCTCATCGTTTATGATGCGTATCCATCAGAAGATATTTTGCGAAGTCATCCCAAAGATGTGAACAGTACTCCATGATAGACCTGACCTCTGGATGATAAGCATAGTTTATGTTTACCTGAATTCTGAGCTCATGACGAACTTGTTGCCGTCGGCGTCGCGACCGGCTACCATCGGTTTGTCACTCTTGGCGAAATCAACTCCAAACTCGTTCAGCTCGTTGGTGAAGTCGTCCTTATCACTCACGGCGAAGTTCACTTCGGACATTTCCTTAGCAACCTGTTAATATATAATTAAACTTGAAATTTCTATAATTTATTCATATGTGATCTTTACAAATAAATTAGGTAGCTGATAGCAACCCTGGCTTTGTTGTGTCACAACCTTATAAACCTATTTCATTTTAAAATAAGCGAAATAATACATAAATTGCAGTGATTTTGCGTACAAAGTTATAGAGGACACCATTAAATCTGCAGTATTGTTATCCACGAAAATCTTGGCTGTTTCAACTCACAGATTCTAAAAGTTAAGTTGAATTTTTATATTTTTTACTGTCATAATCTTGCTACCCACAAGATTTCAACAAATTATTAAAACGGATACAAGCTCAGTGTTGCCATAATCAACAAATTTGCGCGAATCAGAGAAATCAATACCAATTTTGTTCTTGCAAAAATTTTCATTAAGGCAAATAATTCAAAGAATGGCACCAAACTTAGGAAGTTGTGCAGGTTGTAAAAACAAATTGATAAGTAAAGAATTTCTAATATGTGATACCTGTAAATGCAAGTATGATCTCGAATGCGGAAATGTCAGCTCAAAACGTTATCAACAAATGGAAATACGTCAAAAAAGTACTTGGAAATGCCCAGAGTATACTTGTAAACTACCCAAAAATGTTAACTCTAACACTCCGATACGGACTCTTAATGAAGTAATGAATGAAAAAGACAGTCTCGAAGACCTAAGTAATCAATGTGAAAATGTTACCAATCGTGTAAAACGTGTAAGAAAACCAGTTGAAAGTATCCCTTCTCGGGATGCCGTGCAAGATATGAGTTTTGTCAATACCACATCATCATGTCATGGAAGCTCATCGCCGATGGATGGTTTTGTCACAGAGGGTCGACTTCGTGATATTCTACGACAGGAAATATCTCGAGTTATCAATCAGCAAGTAACGGAACAGTTAAAAGGAATCAAAGACCAGATGACTACTTACAATGATTCCCTTGAATTCCTAAATAAGCAATACGAGGAATTTAGGAAAATCTTGGAAGAAAAGAATTTGGCTATTAAGAATCTGGAAAAGCAAAATCAAACCCTACAATTATCAGTCAAAGAAATCACTAGCAGGGTCGAAAGTGTGGAGCAGTACATGCGTGATTGTAACGTGGAAATAAACGGAATACCTGAACACCGATCAGAAAATCTAAGAAAAGCTCTTATACAAATCGCTAATACAGTTGAAAACCCACTACAAGACAGTGATATACAGCATGTTACAAGAATCGCGAAACTGAATAAAGAAAGCAAAAGACCCCGGGCAGTAATTGTCAAGCTGCGGAGTATTCGTCAGCGTGATGAGCTGCTGGCCGCAGTTCAAAAATTTAACAAAAATAAAAAACAACATGATAAACTGAATACTCAACACCTGGGCTACTCTGGAGAGGTATCATCAATTTATGTTGCTGAACATTTAACGCCTACAAATAAGTCATTACATGCTGCCGCGCGTAAGAAAGCCAAAGAGGCAGCATACAAATTTGTGTGGGTTCGCGATGGAAGAATCTATGCTAGGAAAAATGAACACTGTTCTGCATTGTTGGTACGCAATTTTGATAGCCTTAAGCTGATTATTTGATTGTAATTTGTTTTCCCAGGAAAACACAGGTGTGATAATTATGGAACTCATTAGGTAGCATTCAATTCTTTGGATATCTATTATCAAAACGTTAGAGGTATGCGAACGAAAACAAACAATATCCGCAATAATATCCTACAAAATGAGTATAAAATAATTGTATTTACTGAGACTTGGTTGCATTCTAAGATCTATGACGGGGAGTTGATTGATTCGCGATATGTAATCTATCGTCGTGATCGTCAATTTTCTTCTAATTCCAAGTTGGATGGGGGAGGTATTTTGGTGGCAGTGTCTCGTGACCTGGCTTCGACCCGAATGTCGCAGTGGGAATCTGAAACTGAAGATCTTTGGATCTCGTTACAAATAAAAATCGATGGTACTGTTCGAAAGCTGGCTTTATGTGCTGTATATCTCCCACCTCCAGCCAAAATGGAAACCTTATGCCGTTTCCTCGACAATACTGACATTGTGCTCAATCATATTGATGAAGTTATTGTTGTAGGAGACTTTAATCAAGGCTCTATATTTTGGATTAACGACGACAATTTGCCCTATGCAATGCCATCTAATTACACAACCGCACTGGACATAAGACTTGTAGATTTTCTAGCGGCTAATAACCTGTATCAGATGAACAAAATATGTAATGCTAATAGCAAAATATTAGATCTAGTATTGTGTAGTTCGATTAATGCAAATGTTACTAAACCGCTGGATCTATTGTCTAAGCTGGATCCACATCACCCTGGCTTACTAATAACATTAACTTTCCCTAAAATGACTTATTTACAGCCAAAACCGCGCTCGGATTATAACTACTTCAAGTCGGATTTCAATGGTATGACCTCAGAATTAAGTGACATAAGTTGGCAACGTGAATTTGAAGGCCAAAATGTCGATAATATGGTAATTACTCTTTACACTATTCTTGGATCTGCCATATCGAAATATACGCCAGCACGCAAATATCGAAAATCCAGCTTTCCTTCTTGGTTTTCCAATTCTCTTATAAAGACACTTGCTGAGAAAAACAAATTGCGTAAACGGTATAAATTATCAAAAAATCCACGGGACAAACTGGAGTTTGAACTGCTTCGTGATCGTTGCGGTTTGCTTTACAAAAAATGTCTTTCCTCCTATAAAAATCAAATCGAAACCGATATAAACCGCAATCCCAAGGTTTTCTGGCGATTTGTTAAAGAAAAAAGAAAACGTCAATCTTCACTACCTAGTTATATGCATATGGGAGACTCGATTGCCGATACGGGTGCGGACATCGCGAATCTCTTTGCCACACATTTTGCTTCTGTTTATACCAAAACAAATAGGTCTGAACACATGCCCCTCCATGGATATCCAAATGGTTTTCTTAATGGAATAAAAATAACAGAGATGGATATTTTGAAGCAAATAAAGAAAATAGATATTTCAAAGGGTAGTGGCCCAGATGGAATTCATCCCTTGGTAATTAAACGGTGTGGTTCTGCTTTAAGTTTACCACTAGCAATCATTTTTAAAAGCTCAATTCAAGGAGGCATATTCCCGCAAATGTGGAAGCAGGCAAGAATAGTGCCTTTATTGAAAAAGGGGGATGATAGTGACGTCCAAAACTACCGACCGATATCTATTCTGAACTGTTTTGCAAAACTTTTTGAAGCCATAGTAACTCCGATTATCTCTCATCATATTCGAAACACTATTTCTATGCATCAACACGGGTTTCTTAGAGGAAGATCTGTGGAAACTAACTTAGTATCATTTGTGTCCGATTTGAGTGCGGAATTAGACAGAGGTAATGAAGTTCATGCTATCTATACAGATTTTAAAAGCGCATTTGATAGGGTTAGCCATTCATTGCTTCTACGTAAGCTGGAATCAAACGGAATTTGTGGGTCGCTCTTGGATTGGCTTAAATCCTATCTGGCAAACAGGTCTCAAATAGTTGTCACCTGTGGGTACAAGTCTCATACATATTATGCTGTATCGGGAGTGCCACAGGGCTCTCACCTTGGACCAGTCTTGTTCTTGATTTTTATCAATGACATAGAAAATGTAATAAAGCATTCTAAATTCCTTCTTTTTGCCGATGACCTAAAATTGTACATAAAAGCTACACCCTCAAATTGTGAATTACTTCAAAGAGATCTTGATGCTATATCGCGGTGGTGTACTTTTAACGACATGTCACTAAACGTCAATAAATGCTTCCATATAAAATTCACAAAGAAAAAAGTCCCGTTGGATTATACTTACGAACTGGATGGCATTCAGCTACAGGAGGTCGATAAAATGCGCGACTTGGGGGTATTGATAGATAACGAACTAAAATTCAATGCGCATATAGACTTAGTCACAAGAAAAGCCTCACAGATGCTGGGTTTTATAAGGCGTAACTCGAAGGACTTCCAGAAAATTGAAACCAAACTCCTGCTTTATAATTCCTTAGTTCGTAGTAATCTCGAGTTTGCGAGCACAGTATGGAGCCCATTCTATAGTATAAGCTCACAAAGATTGGAATCGGTCCAACGCGCATTTACGCGATATCTCGCTTTTTGCTCTCCCGGTATATCGTATAGATGTCCTTATGAGAGAAGGTTGTCTTTTTTTAATATACAGACATTACGAGAACGTCGGGTAAATCACGACCTAATTTTCCTACATAAAGTTATCAATGGTCAGATTGATTCTGTAGACATTTTAAATCAAATTGGTTTATCGGTTCCTTATAATTACCCCAGACAATCTATCGCAAAAATATTCCACGTACCTTCTTGCAAAACTAACACAGGATCAAATTCTCCAATCTATAGAATATGCAAAAATTATAACCAATTTAGTATGTGCCACGGTGATGTCGATATCTTTGCCGACCCGTTGGTGAAGTTTAGGAGGGAACTGACCAAATGGATGTTGGGATATTGACGTGTGATAGTGTGTTGACATTTGCATTACATTATATAAATATAAATTTAAGCTGTTTTGTTTTGATTAAATTATTTGTTTTTTTTTTTTTTTAAATTTAATTTGACTTGATTAATTGAATTAATTTTGGTTCTATTGATTTAATTCATTACTATTGATTTAGTGTTTAGGATTTGAATATGCAATAATATAAATGAATGAATGTTGTGTATGTCTGTAATTGTCATATGTATCAGAAATTGTAATTGTTTAAATATTGTATTATAAAGGTTAAATATGTATGATGTTGACGTACCTAATTAAATAATAATAAATAAATAGGTAATTCAGGAGGAAACTTTGATGTACTAAGATTTTGTATGAGTATGTCCATTAAAACTACCTACAAATAAACTGAGTCTGAACCCATGCGAAACTGGATCGGGACGCTAGTGTATTATTTAGCATGCGCTGGAAGTTAAGAAAAAGTTGTCTCAAGTAGATTGGATTAAGTTTGTGGGTTCCAACTTTCCACACTTATCACCTTAATCTGACCATTGTGCGTGGATCATTCGAGTATGAAATAACTAGATTTTATTTTTGAACTGGGGTGGCAAGAAGATCCCCATTTTTTCACGCAAAATAGGCATTTGGTATCGAGTAGAAGAAACTACCCGACATCGAGAAGCAGAATTTTAGTCCTGCCCTAGATATGGGTAAAAGACAATCATAATCATTAGCCTTGTTACATCCCCACTGCAGGGGCTCAGGCCTTCCCTATCTATGGATGGTTAAGGAGAATGGAGCATTAGACATTAAAATAATCAATTTCATACTTAGTATATGTACTTGATTGACCTTTACGAATCAAAACTCAATCGTTATATCCAAGTATATAGAAAGCATACCTTGAGCACACGATTTCTCCAGTAGTTGGTGCCCTTAGGGTTCTTGACGTAGTCCACATCGTAATAAGCGACCACAAGCGGATTGCTGAAGTCTTGTAGGTTATCCTTCTGACGCACTCCCACCAAACCATGGCTGTTTACAATTACAGATATTTGCAAAAGCGAAAAACAATAAACAAGAACCAATTAGTTAAAAAAGGCAATTCACAGCAGTTTTCGAAATAAAAATAAACAAAACAATGCGTTAGAAATGGAATGTCACCCATAAATCACAACATAGTAAACTTGTAATTTATTACCTTGTATAGAACTGTCAATCACTATGTTAATGATGTTGGTACATAAATGAAGTATTTAAGTTATTTAAAGAGTCCCTGAAGAGTTGAACCGATGTGGATTAGCACGCTCGGTCTACGACATGCAATTTCGCAAGGGCCGATTGTAAAACGGGTGACGAAAATTTTTTATCTCAAGCTCTCTACGCTTTGAAAGCTATGTCAGGCCATTGGTCTCGGCTGTATCTGCAGGCAGACGTTAACACCTACCAACTTGCACTGGGCATAATGGCCTGTTTCCCTTATCTGGCTCCACCCATAAGCAAGGTCTGTGCCACAGATATTATAGGCTGAAGATGATGAAATTGTTCCTATTTTAAAATTATTTAACTTTCTAACCAATTACGATCTTAAAATGTAATCTAGTAAAAAAAAAAATTAATTAATATGCCAGTTATTACAACTTAGCATACTACTGTTTCCATGCTATCTGCTAAAACTCATAATGATATGAATGTGAAGTATATATTACTGATAAAATAAATTACTGTGCAATGATTAATTGATATATGGTTCTTTAAAATTAACATTCGGCGCTATACTGCAGATAAAGTAGGTGCGTTTTCTGGATAATAGCAGCAGGACGCAATTACTATTATTAATAAGCAATAATTTGTTTTGGATTTTTAGCAATTTATATATACTAATATTATAAAGCTGAAGAGTTTGTTTGTTTGAACGCGCTAATCTCAAGAACTACTGGTTCGAATTGAAAAAATATTTTTGTGTTGAAAATACCATTTATCAAGGAAGGCTTTAGGCTATATAAGATCACGCTGCAACTATTAGGAGCGAAGAAATAATGGAAAACGCGGACGAAGTCGCTGGCGGTCACTAGTTATTTATAATTGCGATTCTTAATTATTATACTAAAACTTACAAGTTTTCTTTGATGAAAGACTTGAGGGAGTAGGTCTCCGGCTCGCCCTTGTACACCACCACGGAGTCTTCAAACTTGTTCTGCAGTTTCTTCGGCCGGAACAGTACTACATTGTTTCTGTCAACAATATAGAACTCGTTTAACATTTACTTGATACAAAGCTTCTATTTAACACACTGTTACTGTGAAAAATGATATCTGTAATAATGATTGTTGTTATTTTTATTCTGGCGAAAATTCAAATTTAAATCTACTATCCTGTTAATACAATACCTGTGTTATATAAATAAATGTGAAAGTCACGCTGCCTTTAAACAAATAAAAATTACCTTCCGAATTTTATGAAATCAAATTCCAATTAATAAGTTTTTAATCAATGTTAATTTATACTGATCAATTGCAAATTCGATAATAATGTGTAACATCCTATGTTTAAAGGAAACATTTAGGCGTGAAATCGTAAAATGTATAAAATTAATCAATCGTAACATCCGTTATACACGGCCGTTTAAATTGAATTAATATTTCATTGCCTAAAGAAATATTCTTATTAAATAAAGTATTTTTTGTTGGTTTGTGTATAAATAATTTGTGTTAGGGAAAACTGTAAATAAAATTATAAATAAGTTTATAAATAAATTTCGCCAGTAGCGGAATACAACGAATTAACAGGACATTAACAGCCTATATGTTAATTCAGAATTAGAGTTATCTGTATATGTCATCTAAATCCGTTCAATAGTAAAAGAATAACAAACATACATATTACTTGTACGAATTAACACGACACCTGAGGCCCTATTGTATTTGTGCTCAAACTAAAATTCGGAAAATTTCAAATAGTTCTGATTTTGTTAAAATCATATCTGTAATGATTATCGGTATATCAGAGGCAGTGTGAGCTCATACCTCCGATCCATTATAAATCATCTGAAATTGCATTTCTTTGGAGTCATATTAATGTTTCGAATATTGATAAAACTTTGTTTTCAGATAGAATACACTATCAAGTGTCATGTTAATTTGTACGAGTAGTAAATCCTCATAATTTTTCGCATCTGTAATAGGTATTACTTAATTATTGTTATTATTAACTGTTAAAACATTAAGCAAGTAGTTGTATATTTACAAATTACTCTAACAAAATTATGTAACTTGTATATTTAAAAATCATGCTTGACCACATCTTTAAGTTCAAATGGTTAATATTCAATTAGTTTTATGTACATAAATTATATTATTAACAAGTTAGAGAATTTCATTAGACATGCTATGTAAATATAAATTTATGTTGACTTTTTCACATCATATGGCATGGTACAGATCTTCTGTATACCACTGTAAAATCAGTGATTAGACTGATTTCTGAATGAATCCTTGACTTGTTAAAAGCGAAATAAAGTAAAACCTGGTATACTCTTTATCAGGACAAATTCTACTTTGTACATCTAAAAGCAAAATGAATGTTTATACATATTTTTAGTGGCTGGCAACAGTTTAAATGTGACTAGCCAGTATTTGTTAGGTAGTTTAAATTTGCAAAAACCATTATTCTAAAATCAGATATTATTCACACCTTCATATTATTCAAAACTATTTTGTTGTAACATAATTGTAAAATGCAGACAAAGTTAGTTTTATTATGTAATGTATGGTTGTGGAAATATATTCATCACCAACTGAATAAATACTTATTGGATGTTACTATATTAACAATTAAATAATTTACATTGTGTGAATAAAACTTATGACCAATAAACTTGTAGCACACCCATTTATTATAATTAGTTTCAACCAGTGAATCTCAAAGAAGTTGAAATTAAATAATTTACCTTGTGTGAATAAAAGTTATGACTAATAAACTTGTAGCACACCCATTTATAATTATTAATTTCAACCAGTGAATCTCAAAGAAGTTGATATCAACACTTTGGATTAAAACTCATTTAGGGTCAACAAGGTCTAATAACATCTGTTATTTGAAATTTTATTTTGTGTAATATTCTTAACAAAATGATATCATGCATACCAACTAGAAAATTATTAAATTGGTGTGTTGAATCAATAGGAAAAATTTTGAGATAGGAAATTAGAGCAACTTAGTTTAATCTGCTCATTTTTGATATCTTATTGAAAATAGTTTTGAGAATCCCTAGTTTAAACAAAAGACATTAAATCACAAGCACATATATATCATGCATATGATAGGAGTTATATTTTTGTTTTTTTTTTTTTTATTTATATAAGGTAATTTTGTTTCTTCATTAGTATCAATAACAATCTGTGCATATATTTTCCCTAGTTTAGAGAAAATAAATGCTAATAAAAACAAAACCTGACACTTACTTGTATCCACTCTTTTCAAGCACCTCCTTAGTTGAAGTATGGGCAAAAGAGACTTCCTCACGCATCTTGTCAGCAGTTTTAAGGAACTCTCCTTTAAGGTCATTTTCCTTTTCAAAGAAGCCCACCACAACTACTTCATCCTTAGCTATGAATGCTTCATATTCGGCCACTGAGCGCAGATCCTTAGAGCTGGGTCCCACCTGGGCTCTCATGTACTTGATAATCCCATCTAAGGTTAGTGAAAGGGGAATTTTTGAATACAAAAAATCAAACAAAAACATACAAGTTAGTTTCTTCACAAAAAAGCTAAATCTCAGACAAACGCTTAACATTTTAACAGCCATATGTATCTCTTGGCAAGGCAACTAGTAACACTTCAGAACTTACTAGATTCTCTAGGTCCATTGTATTCTTGAGACACTTCACCCTTTCTGAAGATTTTGAGTGTAGGGTATCCAGAAACTGAGTGTTGTTCACAGGTGCTCTTGCCTCCTTCTGTGCAATCTACTTTTACCAACGCGACTGGAGGGTCATCGTTCTTCAACACGCCGGCTGCCACTGCGTATTCAGGTTTCAGTCTTTTACAGTGACCGCACCTTTAAAATCATTATTAGAAGTTTATCAAGTGTTAAACAATGTTGATTTGTGAGATACATTGACATGAAAGTCCTAATATCTTACCAGGGTGCGTAAAACATGACTAGGGCAGTATCATGTTGAGCTAAAACAGTAGAAAAGTCCGAATCTGTAAGGTCGATAACATCCTCTTCAGCGGCCTTACATAAATAAATTACACCTAATAGCAGAACTATTTTCAGTGAACTTAACATTTTAAAACGCGTCCGTCCGTTTATTTTGTGTGCGTAATTCTTCGCCGACGAACTAACTGAACCTGCGAATGAAACGAAAAAGAAAGGACAAGGACCGGAAAAATACACGTCGGATGATGCTGCAAATGACACTTGCCGGCACAGCGTTGGCCATTTCTGATTGGTTCATATTAAAAACGTTCAAAAGTTCAAAATTTTTATAGTAAATATTTCATTTTCACCTATTTCTTTATAAGGTGGTTAGGTTTAAAATAAATGTGTTTCATTTAACTGCAGTGATTTCAAATTGTTTTTAAAATATTTTGACATTTCTTTGGTAATTAAATAATTTTAATTTCTCGAACACTGCTTAAGTGAAGTGTTTCTTTTAGTAGTCTCTTACTACTATTTAGTAGTATTGGATACAGAGAATATTCGGTATTCAATTAGAGTTGAATGCCGCAATACATCAAGAGTATTTATTATTTTGCCCCCTTTTTATTATTTGTCGAAAACAAAAAATAAATATGAAATAACAATTTTCATGCGTCGATTTTATAAATATATCATTTGAAATATTATATTTTGTATTTTGCAATTACAACAGTGTTATTTAAGTTAAATTTAAACACAGGGGTTTGATTAGAATAATTAAGAGTTTTATACTTAAGAAGACTTTAAAGCATTTTGCTTTGAATACAACAGTAAATAATATAATACAGGTTTTATAAATATGTTCTAATTTAACAAGATTTTTTATAGATTTATTTCTAACATTATATATATACAAATAAAACACATCAATTTCGGTTTGTTTACTAGTACTGTCCTCTGAATCAAGCTTAGAGCAATATTTCCTATTCTCTCGTGGTATCATCAGAATATAGCGTTTTTCATATTTCCTCACTTTTTAAAATCCACACGACAGTATTGTATATCTATTTTGACGACCTCCGTAACCGAGTGGTTTATACGCTGGTTTCAAGGTGTCGCCATTTCTGAGCTCCCGAGTCAATGTAGAAAACGAACTTTTCTATATTGTCTCGGGTTTGGGTGTTGTGGTACCTTCGTTGTCTCATATACTCCATGATTTAGCTACTTATCTTGGAATCTGGGTAATGTATGTGATTTTATTTAATATTTACTTATTATATCTAAAAAATGCTTTCAAAAGTTGTATTGTCGAAAATTGGTATCGCCATTTAATGACATTTATTTTAGTAGTTTATTTTTTGTATACTTCCTCATTCAGTTGAGTAATCATTTTTGTTTCACTTCGAAATAACAATTTTGTGGATAAAGTCATAACCACTCTTGAATTAACTGAAATGATAAAAATTATCAGTAAGTTGTATTTCTGTTAAGCAACTGGCAACTTTTCTCGAATTCCTTGTCATGTCAGTTAGCGTTGCTGTCAAGCTGTCAAACGGAAAATGGCAGCGACGAGTGTTGTCGTTCTCGACAGAGGTAACAATACAACTTGTACCGTAAATCTTTTCGGTAAGTATGAGATCTGAAAATGTTTAGATTATATGTAATAGAATAGCTTATATATCTATATTAATTTAATTTATGTATTGCACTTTCGCAATCGCCGTTCAAAGGACCGCATAACCTTTAACTTTTGTATTTATTTTCATAGCGACGCGCGTAACTTCAAAAAATTGTGGTAACTTTTAATAAAATGTGGTGACTTCTAACAGACAAAATAGCATCAAATCTTCCCCTTATTCGGAGTGGTAGTGTGACTTTTTTTCGACAAATCCTGATGTGATTATTTTCACCTAAGATTTAGTTTTTTTAGTGGATAGAATAAGTTGTTCGCAGCGATCATGACCTTGGTTATTGGATTGTAGGAAGTAAACTGTAGATACTTGCTTTAAATTGTAGGTTGGTATTTGATGTACTCACAAAAAATATTCATAAGAGTCATACACCGTGAGTTAATGATAATAGCTTACCTACTAATAAATAATCGAATTACATTAAAGTACATAAGTACTTGTAAAAATTTAATTTGATTTCAAGTGTCTTAAATCTTTTTATTGAAAATTCCTTGAGAAAAATAAACTGTTTCCTGCCCTGAAGATATAAAGGCTTATTTCTTTTCAAAGATTCAATGGTGTCAATTTCGCTGTGCCTTTTGTGTTGTTACTTCCTACTTTTGTAATCCTGGTTATTGTTTAAATTAACTGAAACTAAACATAGTCTAGTTTATGCAACAGAAATGCTAACATTATTTTTTATTTTTGTTGTAAACTGTTGATATGCATAAAAATATAAAGTATAAGCAATCCATTTCTGATAGTTTTATAATGGTTCACTTTAAGTTATGTGCTTGTTTTAGGAGCTACAGTAGTGTCATGGAGAGTCAACAATCAAGAACAGTTATTTGTAAGGTAAGCCTTCTCATTATAATCAAATTGAAACTTATTTTTTTTTATAGATAATCAGTCAATGAAATGTATTTCATAATATGGAGACATATATAAAATGACAATATCTATACCTAACAGAACTAGTTTATATGCTCCTGACTTTTGTAACAACAGCACTATACTTAGTTTGCAGATAATTTTACTTTTTCCTTAAACTACAATGAAAATAAAAAATAATAAAAACCACTATTAATTAAAAATAAATTTACTGTTTCTTTTTAAGTTTCTGTTCTTAAAACTTTAAAAAAGTTCACATAATGTTTCTGAAGTTCTGTTCCGTATATAATATTTGTTATATTTTACTTTATCTTAGTTCTTGCATATATTTCTGTAACATAATATAATTTTTTTAATGATCTGCAACCACTTAGCATGTTGTAGTGGCTGGATTACTAATGGGCATATATAAATCATGAAGTTGATTCAAATGTAGAATCAAGCAATTAGTCTCAGTAATTAAATTAACATTAATGACATCAAGAATTTGCATATTATTTCAGACTGCTAAGGCCCCCATGATTCATAGATTCATTATATAAATTCTTATAATGTATTGATTTGCATTGATTATACTTCTCTTTGACAACCATAGTATTGATGGTGTTTTATTAATATAATTTAATAACCAAAATGAAATATGGTATCAAAACATGTCTAGCTAGACTGACAAACTATATTATCCTATAATCCTATGCTATATCATATTAGTACTAAATACTATCTATCAATATCTTCATGCACATTGGATCCTTTATGAGGTAGGCAATTATAATACTGATTTACATTTTTATCTTAGAATATTCTTAAATAATTTATGATAATTGGTTGGCTGGTTATCAATTATAGACAAATTTTATTTATTTTTATTTCTACAATTACTAAATAATATCTATAGCTATCCTATATTTTCACTATAGATACCTTTTAGGGTAGGCTAAGAGAAATTAAGGACTAAATAAAATGTTTTCTTTCAATTATAATTACTTTTTGTCTGTCGTCTGTGATTTTATCTGCTTCGACTGGTAAATTGGCTACTAGATAGTTATAACAATATGACATTATTGGAAATGGTGATTTATAAGTAAAAAAACCACTTAAAGTATTTGTCATTTTAAAATAAATTGTAATTTATTTTATTTTTGCGAAAATAAATAATTAAAATATGTGGATTACAAGAACCGAAAGTCTTAAACGCGGGCGGCCATAAGAAAGCATTGTGTGTCGTCACATTTCAATAAACTAAACGTCACCGTTCTTGTTGCGAATGCAGCCAGTAACTACCTATGTTTATTGATGTGACATATGTGACGTGACATTTCGAGCCATGAGTGTGAGATGATTTTGCTGGATAATTTAAAAATAATGATTAAAAATATGCTTATTCTTGATTAATTATATATAACACTTTAATCAAATTAAAGTGGTTTAATATGATGATATGAGTCTTAAAACTACTTATCTCAAAACAGTCAAGTAATAGGCTAGTTGCCAACTTTTTTTTTATTTCCTAAATAAATAGTCCATTAACATTTGAGAAATAATGTAGAAGTAACAGCATGTCTGAGATTTATAGTTTCGGAGATACGTTGCTGTGTTTGTAGAACTGCTGCTAGTTGGCCGAAAACGCTCCCTACAAATTCAAGGCACTCAGTGACGTCACACGGTGCTACAGTAGCGACAAATGTATGGCCGTCTGGACATTTTTTGTAATATCTTTGTTATTTGTGCGTTTATGTTTATAGCTGTTGTAATGAAAGTTGTAACATTTTTTATATCTAATTTAATGCCTTATGTATTTTAGCAAATTTATGTAGTAGATTTTCTCTACTTTTTTCAAGTTTTCAAAGCATAATATTTTCCAAATCATTGACTTAAAATTTGTTTTGTTAAACATTTATAAGTTAAAATGGTTCATATTTGTCGAAGATATAACAAAAACCCGTATTTTCACTTGTAGGACACAAGCCTATTACAGCCAATTACAGTAGCTTGTTATATGTCACAGTCTATTCATTAGTAACCAATTGTTCATCAGTACTAATGTGATTAAACAATATACAGTATTGCATTAATGAAAGTGTTAGATGATACCACAGTATCACTGACAACTGAGGGGTCTAGTCTGAACTCTCTGTAGTAAGTCAGAATTATTAAGTAGACCCTTATTGGAGGCTTGATTATACAGACCTCGGTAATACCTTCTATTTTATCCAGGTCTCTAACCGCACTTATGACGATTTGCTTCGTCAGAAGTGCGGTGGTGGTAATGGAGATGTGTGTAATGGGGTTCAGTATAAAAAAAAAATCTTTCTTTCGCCTCCTTTGGCGTGTGCCGAAGATTGATGTCCATTTATCTATCAAATTAGTTTTGTTTTATTTTAAGGCTCCGTGTAATTATTTGGCATAAAAATGGTCCATCGGCAAAGGTTTAAGAACCATTGATTCAGGAGACGCTGTCGATTAGGGAATGCAATCTCGGCGAGATCTCGTTCTTGCGAGATCTCGGCCTTTTTTAGCGAGATTGTTCTCGGCCGAAAAATTGGCGAGATTTAACGAGATTGCACTCGAACATAAAATTTTCTAATTTTCAATTTATTCTAAGTGCGGCAGCGCGAATTTATGCGATTCCGGGGGGTTAAAAGGCAAAGTTTTACACTTTTACACCACTTGTGTTTTCGAAAGGGTCTTCTCGGTGGCTGGTTATCTGACCAGCACAATAGTAAGACGAATAGCAAAGATTCTTTGGACATTTTGTACTTCTTAAGAAGCTACTTTCAAAATTATTCGTAATAATGACATGTGAAATAAACTGAATAAGCCTTTAAATTGATTGGTATATTTTGTTAATTTATTCTCTAATTTCTAATATATCTCTCGGTATTTTATTCTGGGTATCTAAGATAAATAGTCAATTCAACTTAGTTAATGGATTTTATTTTATAAAAACTGTGTATTATACTCGTAATTAAACTTTTTTAAATTTGATATTAGCAGAGATGACTGGTTGTTTATTTCATTTGTATTTGATAAGATACGTCAAAGTTTAGTTTCTTAAAAAATTTGTATCTGGATGACTTAGCTTTACACTTATATAAAATCAAAAATTAATAATCCTAACTAACTAAATCGATTTATCGCCTCTGAAAGCCCCTGCATACTTAATGTCATGAAAATTGTTGGAGCCGTTTCCGAGATTATAATGCAGTAAGTGCTCTTTTAAAGGTTTTAGATAAAAAATCTAATTGCGTCAACCAATGTTAAATACATAAAACTATTGAAAATATCCTTAAAAAGTGTTTATTTCATAATACCTGTATTCTTTTCTAATTTATTCAAATATTGTGAGATGAATAAATATTACAGTAAAACAGTACACATATAAAAGTGCCAATCTCGCGAGATCTCGTAATTGGCGAGATCTCGCGGTATTGATATTCATAAACTCGCGAGATCTCGCCCGCGTCCCAATCTCGCGAGATTGCATTCTCTACTGTCGATTGAAGGCAATACATTCTACCATTGATCGATGTCTTCGACCGACAAAAGCTCGATTGTTTTAGTTGATTCTACCATCAATCGAGGGTCTCGTTCAATCGATAATCGTTTTTCGTCCAATCGACATTTTGTCCGGTTAGTAGAGTCTACATTGTACAATGAAGAAACAAATTTTTATAGCTTAAACTAGGGTTACCAGCTGTTATATTTTTACAATACGTCATTTCACAAATTTAAAATATTTATAAAAAATTGTGGTCATCCTTTAAGATAACAGCCTAATCACACATATTTCACTTTATTCTAAACTAAGATGTAATGTATATATTTTGAAGATTACACAAAATAAAAATAAATACTTTTTATCATTTTATCTGAGACGAAAACGATTGACGATTTTAATTTGATTGGTTTGTTTATTTACTTCGTGCGACGTCATAATAGGTTGGGGAAACTTTTTCTTCGCATTCTATATGAAAATTCAAAACATTAAATAAAGTTTATTTACATTTAACTAATGTATGTAGGTACCATTTTATTCGATAACTTTTTGACATCTTGTAGTTAGGGAGAAAATCCCATTGCTCTAGAAATTTTGGGGCTTCTGACCAAAATACCAGGACAAGTTGTTTTGGCAGTCCTCGCGTGATGTTAACCTAATGAATTCTGAAGAGACCGAAACAGTTGGATATCTGAAGGTGCGAGGTTAGGACTATATGGCGGATGTATTAACATCTCCCAGCCAAACTCTTAATTTTGGCTGAGTGGCATAAGATGTGTGAGGTCTAGAGTTATCATAATGGAAAACCACACCTTTTCTATTGATTAATTCTGGCCGCTTTATCTCAAATTCTTACTTTAATCTCATCAGTTGTTCGCAATAGAGTTAACTATCGATGGTCCTTCCTGGGAGTAACAGCTCATAATGCCCTTCCAATCTCACCATAGACATAGCGTCACTTTGTTGCGAGTTAACCTGTGTTTCGCCAGTCTGTGAAGCCTGACCAACCTTTGACTATGACCTGAATCGCACGTTCTTGTCGTACGTGATCCACTTTCATCATCAGTTATCAGCTTCTTCAAAAAAGGGTTCGGTTTCATTACGCCGTAATAAAGAATCACAAATGAGCACACAGTTCATTAGGTTTCTTTTAGTGAGCTCGTGAGGTACCCAAATATCCAACTTTTTTTGTGTACCCAGCATTTTTCAAATGCTCCAAAACTGTTTTGTGGGTAATTTGCAGTTCTTTAGCTACGTCGTAACTAAACATGCCTATCTTGCTCTATTTTTCAAAAATTGCATCCATTTTATCCGTAAAAGGGCGATCGGAGCGACGTGCATCTTGGACATCAAAATTTCCGTACTGAAAACGCTTAAACCAAATTTGTGCTACTACTACTACCTAGTAACTGTACTAGGTCCATAAATATTCATCCATTTTTAACTTCTTTATAGTGAAATTTAA